ATTGTTGACAGGGGGTGGAGTGATACTGGCAATAGCAGCTCTGTAGGAGGGGGACAAATGAAAACAGAGGTGGAGGCCTCCGTTTTCAGTTGTCCCCCTCCTACAGTGCTGCTATTGCCAGTATCACTCCACCCCCTGTTAACAATACAATATACCTATACAATTTTTTTTCTTTTTGATTTTTTACCTGGATTACTGAGATGCATCAGGACATTTTGACACCTTAGTTTTTACCTCACCTTTTGCCTTTTAGCTAACATTTTACTACTTTCAGCTATTGTTTTTTTAGTATTTTAATCTAATATTTTGCTGCTTTTGACATTTGCTTCTTTTAGTTTTTTTGTCAGTTAGTTTTTTTTAGCTAGTTTTCCACTTCTTTCAGCTTTATCAACACAGTTTTAGCTTCTCCAATAATTTGTTTGGTTTTCATGCTAAAATTCAATTCAATTCAATTCAGAAATACTTTATTGATCCCAGAGGGAGATTAGGTAAAAGCAAAAGGTAAAAGTACAGTTTCTCAAATTTCTGAGAGATTTCTGGGACCAAGTTCCTGCCCCTACGGATAAAAATCAAACATGCTCATTTTTTATTTTCCAGACAGAGGGGGATGAACACATTCATGTTCAGACCTCACTGCGGTGAGGCTGGTGCCATCACCCACCTCCTGGCTGCCTTCATGACGGCTGACAACATCTCTCATGGCCTCAACCTCAAGAAGGTCAGTCGGGATGCATTGTTTTGTGGAATGACGCTTTCCACAAGTACCACGTTTAAAGACAATAAAACAGATTTTTAAAAAATCTGCTCTAATATTAAATCAAAATAACTGTGCTGAGACATTCAATACCTGATCTCATCATGTGTTCCCATCCATCTTTCTCTCAAACCAGGGTCCTGTGCTTCAGTACTTGTACTTCTTGGCCCAGGTTCCAATCGCCATGTCTCCGCTCAGCAACAACAGCCTGTTCCTTGAATATGCCAAGAACCCGCTGCTGGAGTTCCACCAGAAGGGCTTGATGGTGTCTCTGTCCACGGACGACCCCATGCAGTTCCACTACACCAAGGTCCGGTTGTAAACAGCTGAAACGCTAACATCTGATTGAGTCGGACTCATAGCTTTATGGGTTTATGTTCACAGGAACCCCTGATGGAGGAGTACGCCATTGCAGCTCAGGTCTTTAAGCTGAGTACTTGTGACATGTGTGAGATTGCCCGAAACAGCGTGCTGCAGAGTGGCTTGTCTCATGAGGTGAACAACCAGTTTCTGTCATTCTGTTTGTAAGGCATCGAAGAAATGTCAATAACATTCACCGTCCTCTGCTTCTGCTCCAGGAGAAGGTCCACTTCCTGGGTGCAGATTACCTGAAAGAAGGTCCGGAGGGCAACGACATCCGTAAAACTAATGTGGCTCAGATCAGGATGGCGTATCGCTTTGAAACACTGTGCTACGAGCTCAACCTCATCAGGGAGGGTCTGAAGGCAGAGTGAACACTTCTCTGCATCAAAGAAAAGCCTCTACGTTAGTTTTTCACAGGAACTTTTGGAAATCTTCAAGACGAAAACCTTCTAAAACACTGGTGCTCTCTTCTGTTTTGCGTTGTGGTTTTGCTGCAAATGCCGTCTTCAGCTGGAGAAACATCATGTAGAAGAATGAATAAAAAATAAAACGTAAAGATAAACAAGTACCTGTTTTCTGTCTATTGTTAATTTGATTCACACAGCAACCCAAGATACAACAAACRTGGTTTAAACTTCTTATTTGCTCAATCAGTGTATGTGATGTAAATGTTAAGTTTCATTTTGCTAACAGACAAATAAGGTTGAGATAAATTTTAAACATGCATAATCACCCTCTGCAAAAAAAAAAAAAAAAAAAATAGTATTGTCTAGAACCAAATCTTCATTCTTGTTTTTACGCCTTGTTTGGCGCACGTGATTGCGCAGGTGCAGCACGCCCGGTTTCCAAATTTCCGACGACACGTGAAGCCATCAGTATTTCTTCATCCCTTGACAGCTTCAGGAGTTGAAGCGGTGACGTCTTCCCCCTTTGAGAATTCAACCAAACTTTTTCTCACGTTCCAAAACTCCGTCAAGTTGAACGAAAACACAGGGCGGTAAAAACAGGAAGTGGCCAGAATAAGACAGCGGAGTCAGGCGCACGTGTTCCGACTTCAACAACAGCGTAAAGCTCAGTGGCGRATCTAGGATTTTTCTGAGTAAGGGGCCATCAAGGGGCCACAATATTCACAGAGGGGCCAAATATTTGTTCAACATCCTTGCACATAAATCCTAAATTTTGGTAAAGTGTATAAATTTAACCAGTCACATATGATCCAACAATTGTAATGTAATTATTATTATTATTATTATTATTATTATTATTATTATTATTATTATTATTATTGTAAAAATTTAAAAAGCTTTAATTCTTCATATCAATGTTACATACACTTTTACTGTACATGGAAAAATATTCTCAATGAGAGAAAATGAAGCCATTATTTGCTAGTTGAAAGATATTTTTTGCAAAATTGTTCAAGTCTTTTAAAGAAGATAATGCTGCGTTCACACCGAACGCGAATTCAGCGTCAGGAGCATCAGGTTTACATACAAAGTCTGAGGTGGACGCGCTTCAAGCAGCATCGGGAAGGGCTGCGGCGCCTCAAGCGTGATTAGAGCAGCACGATTTGAACGATCTGAACGTTGAGGCGCAAATCGCTGAAGTTAGAAAATCTGAACTTTTGCAGCTCGACGCGCCGCGTCAACCAGTCAGAGAGACTCCACTGTGTGACGTAGYGACATATTTCCCGACGGGACAGTTTACTGAATGATGTCCATTAACCTGAAACAGATGGAGAGGAGCTCTTTAGCTGAAATCGTGCCTGCAGTCAGTGTCCTGACGGAGATATCCTCACCAATGCGTGGCAGCGGCTCATCAGACTGGAAAAATAGTCCTGAAAGCGAGCTGTGAGCCTCTACTCTGAATTATCTGGTGAATTAATTATGAATTAATTATCTGATGAATGTGACATGCTCTTGCTCTCTGTAAATAAAGCAAAGCCACTTCCTCGTCCGACATTAAACAGAGCCCGACAGAGGAGGGAGGGGCGGGGAGGCTGTTGCCGTGCAGCGCTTCAAGAGCTGTCCTGCGTCTGACCTCAAAGTGCACAAGCTTCGTGCTTCAAACTTCAGCGTTGGCTGCGATTTTGAAGATGAAATCGCGTTCAGTGTGAACGCAGCATAAGAAGAGAAGACTTCTGTAAGATTGATTCATGCTGTTCGACTCATTAGCGCCTCTAGCGTTTGGGCATGGAACTGCACCCACCATCATTGCTCTCAGGCAAAGGACAGATGAGTGACAGGACAGGGGTACTTCAGGGGGCCAATCAGATTTCAGCAGGGGCCAATGCCCCAGTGGCTCCACCCCTAGAACCGCCCCTGTTGCTACTAGCTTCCTACTTACTACCTAAAGGTATGAAAATAGCAACTTTTACCTTTAATTTTTAGCCGTGCTTTGCTAGTTTTAGTTTTAAGTTATAAGCTCTTGGCTAGTATTTTCCACTTTTATACATTTAGCTAGTATTTTGCTTGTTTTGCATCWTTTTACCTTTAGCATTCTGCATCTTTTAGAGTCAACGTCAGCTTCTTTCAACAAATTCCAGCAGTAATAACTTTATTTTCACAGAAAAGCAATTCGTGTAGTTATCAAAAGTTCTCTTCCCTCCAAATCGCTGTTGTGAAATCTAGTTTTATTTTTGAAAGACTTGACCGGAAGTGAACTTTTTTCCGTCCGACTTCACTAATATTCCAGAGAGAGAGAGAGAGAGAGGGCGAGGAGTGATTTGCTTTATCTTCTTTTTTTTCCTTCTCTGTCGCCGCTTGTTTTAAAATGTATTTTACTCGCAACTATTAGCGCATTTTTAGGCCCCGTTTTCTTGAAATAAAAGTTTCCCCGTAACTTCCTGTGGTCCGGTTTCTCCCACGCGATCGCTCGTTTAGCTCGTTATTTAGACCTTCCTCGGCGCTGAGACGAAATAATGGATTTTATTTGGGTTTGTCGTTTTTCCGTAAGGAAAACACGGAACTGGCATGAGTTCTGTTGGCCTCTGTGAGACACACCGGTARGTAACAAAACTGTGGTGTTGTGTTCTTTCTTGTTTTCCTGACTTTTTTCATCGTTAAAAATAATTTTAATAAGGAGCTAGCTAGCTAACGCTCATAAATATAGCTTTTTTCATCCACATTTAAATCCAGCAGCAAACTAAATCAAACATTTTTTGTCAAAATTTCATAGAAACACATTACTTCTAATATTTGTTTCAACTACATTCAACATATTAAATTAATTTTAATTTAAAAATTTGCTTATAGTGTTGAGGTGACTCAATTAGACTCAATTTATTTGCTTAAACACTGGCTTATATTCAAAACGTATTCATTTAGGACTCTTTTATTACTCAGGTGCTGTGCAGATGATGTAAACATAATGAATAACTGATCACATGTTCAATGTTCATTCTACTAAATACTCGTTTTATAAATAAAACTAATTGTATACTTTAAAAAAAAATCAAAGTTTCTGAATTTATTATAAAGTGTGCCAGTGTCTAAAATGTCAACATTAGGATTGTAATACTCTAAATTAAGAAAAAAAGTATGTTTTGATGTAACTTTTGCTCCCTGACTGAGAGGCAGACTAAAAAATAAGCCTCAAATGAACAGTGGGCGAAAACGATGAGACAAATTATAGAATAATCTTGATTCGTGAGCAGCAGAAGTCTCTAAATGTGAACAGAAAAGTAACACGGTTGTGTTTATGAAATGGCGTGGCTGTCAGGGTAAATGGGTGTTTAGTTGAGTCCTCAACATGAATTGAAAGCTGCTGTTAGATCAGTCGTTTCGTGTCTTTCATCCTGGCATGTAGCAAACCAGCATTTTGCTTTATTACAGCATTAACTGTCACTTTTGATGATAAGCCTCAGTCTACCTGCTACATGTCCTGGCACGCTGTGAGTATCAGAGAGGGTGTGTGCTGAGGGTTTCAAAGGTACAATTATGTTTAATTCAGTTGCCAGGTGATGTATGGTTTCTGCCTTTACACGACTTCATGAGAGGGAGCGGGAAATGAGCCCTGACAGCTCCAGAATCATCATGGAAACAAATTGTTTAAACTTACGCAACTTGATAATTCACACTGTCTCAGTAAAGAGTTGCCAGTCAGTTGTTTGTGTGACTAGTCGCATCTAGATATATTTCTAGATGTCAAAAGCAGTGCTTGAGTACCATAAATGATCTAAACATAGTTTTTCAACTGGGCGCTAATCTTCCTGCACCGTAATTATTGGACAAGCTGCTGATCCCATCTTCCTGCAGCTCAGGAAACACAACTCGCGCCTTCCTGTGCGACTTGCCRCACTCAGACAAACGGCCCAAGTGGGTCAGTTTTGGGAGCTGCATTGTCGTCTGACAACGATGGAGCGGCATTCCAGTCCCGGACATACATTCGATTTGGGTCAAACGAGACAAAAGCCTCACTTTAAAGCGTGACTGCGATCCGACTGTCACCAGTTAAATCTGTTTCTCGGCCCTCGGCTCTGCAGGAATGCGACTCGCAGAGTTATTGTGCTTTGGAAACTTTCTATCTCTCTCTCCTCTTCAGATACTCTCAGCCCAACCTGCAACGTGTCCTAATGATCTGGTTCCAGAAAAGAGGACCTGCTGTTGCAGTTAATGTTGATTCAGGGAATGTGAGTCACGGTAGATCCAGTATTTATTAGTCTACTTGTCTTTGAAACCATCCAGTCAGGTGTATTARCAGCTTTCTACTGCAAACACGAACAGGTTCTTATTGTTTTCCTGGATTTTCTTTTTCAGTTTGTTTTTGCAATCTAACTACTTCTGCTTACTTTGTGCAGTTTTAGTCAAAAACAATCTGCTCATTCAGGAGATACTGTGACTTCTGTTTTTTTTATCCTTTATGCTTCTCAGTAGATTTAACTTTATTTACAAATGTCTTCCCCTTAGAAATATTATGTCCAGATCTCTTAAACCAGGGGTCTCCAACCTTTTTTTCCTTAAAAACAACTTTCACAAAATGAAGTTGTCAGAGAGCTACTTTTTGCAACATTTAATTTTAAACTTAAACCAATGGGATAAGCTTGTTTTGCACAAAAAACTATTGTCTTCAATTCACATGAAACCACCACGAAGAACACTGAACTAGACACCGCATAGCGGAAACATAATGACCCCCCGCACTCACAAATGCACCAGAACTCAGAAGTCTTTATTCCTAATAAATGTCATGTTACTAGGTGCATCCCAAAATCGTAGTGGTTTGGGTGAGGGTCTTTTATTTGGTGGGGGGGGGGGCATTGGTTGACCTGATCGATAGCCCCTCATCAGAGCTAAACAACAAAAGAAAATCTGAAGCTCCTATGCTTAATAG